GGGCGGGGGGCCGGCCGTCCCGGGCAGGAGCCAGGCCCAGCCTGACCTGTGTGGCCAGCGGGTCCCCTCCCATCAGCTACCGCTGGTTCAGGAGCACCCCGGGAGGGAAAGCCCAGCTCCAGAGCAGCCAGGCCGAGCTGGTGTGGGACAGCGTGCGGCCCTCCGACGCCGGGAAGTACTACTGTGAGGCAGAAAACCGGGTTGGGGCCGGGGCTGTGCAGCAGAGCGACGCCGTTGAGCTGATGGTGAGAGGTGAGTCCCCAGCCTAGAGCTCCGCATCGCTGCTGCGCAAGATTGAGGCAGGGAGTGTTCTCTTTCATAGCAGGATCAGACACGTAACGCTGAATACGAACTGTGTCTTGATTGCCATCCAGAGAGGAAACCACAGGGGCTGGCATCCTCCCTGCTTCAGAGCATGCCTGATCATGGCAGGGGTCAGGAAAATGTCTTCTGTGTCCCTCTGGGACCAGGACTGTGCAGGATGTCAGCCTGGCTTCTGCCCTTGGCATGTCTTGCTCTTACCCGGTTTGTACTGCAGATAGGGCGCGGGGGAAACAGCCTGACCAGTCTCTCCCCCAGAGTCCCCAGTCAGACAGCAGCCCAGCCCTGGGACTGGCAGGCACAACAGACCCCTGCCCACCCCCCGAGGCGATGCGCCCCATCCAGTGCCCACAAGTAAGTGACCTGGGCTGCAGGGGAAGGGCTGCTTTCACCCTGGTGCTCTGTGAGTGACGGAGAAGGTGAGCGAGACTACTCGACGTGCCTTTTGGGCTGCAGATCCTCTTTGTCCCCCCGGTGCGGGTGCTCAGCTGTGGGTAGCTGGGTCGGAACCCCCAGGACAGCAGCAGAGCCAGTGCTAGAGGGACCATGCCCTGGGAAACCAGGGGGTTGCACAGCTCCAGCGGGAGGTCACCTGGGGCAAGAAACCTGGCTCAGGGCTCCATGCATCAAGGAGCCTTAAGGTGCAGCTGCTGATGGTAAACCACCCTGGACCGGCCAGGGAGTCACCACAGCAGAGATGGAGTGAGAACATCCTGTAGAAACCTGATGAGTCCTAGCAAGACAAAGCTGAAGCATTCCCTGGCCGTGCTGTAACCAGCCACAAGCGCTGGTCCCCAAAGATGTACCACGTCAGCCAGGGCTGCCAGGGACCCGGGGGGGATGCCAAGGCCCCGGGGGGATGCCAGGGATCCAGGGGGATGCCAGTGCCACACGCTGCCTGCAAGCCTGCTGGCAGAATGCGCCTAGGACGACACATCAAGGATAAAAATCTGGCTTGTCGCTCCCAGAGCAGGTCCAACGGGTGTTTTCTTTCCGTCCACCTCAGACGCGTTAGCCTGAGGGAATCAAAGCGGCGCGCTCGTCCAAACAGAGCGGGCAGCTTCAGGGCAGCGGTTCCGTCCAGCCCCGGAGAGCTGTGCCGGAGAGACCCCGGCACCGGGCAGCCGGAGGGGCTCACCGGCGAGGGCAGCTCGCCGCCGGCCCCTCTGCCCCTTTGCAGAGCAAACC